TATAAGATCAAAACACAAAAGCAGTATTGTACAGTCCCTGCTGCACCGTCTTCACTTAAACAACCTACTATATAAAATCCACCTGCATAACTAAGGATCTCTAAAAGTAAATATATCTTTAAATTCACTTTAGATTCACATACTGACTTCCAGAAATCCTGATTGATATTTAAAACATATATTCTCTTTGACATTGTACTAATGACCCTTTTAAAATGCGTGGGCATAGTTAGATCAGACAATGAATAAACAGACACCGATATAAAAAGTTAATGGCTGGATGAACAGATGCCCATACAGAGTTAACTCTTTTGACAGAGCAGCCAAATTCACACATTGCATGTGAAATAATCAGCTGAGCAAATAGTAAAAGGAGCACAACTCTTTAGGAAATGAAATGGCACATATTTTCAATATTTCCATTTCCAAGCTAAGCCTAAAGTAGTTCCTGGTGTTTGAATTTGTCAAAAATTATCTCTGTTTTAAATGTGTAGTGAATTCTGTCATTCAGTGTGTGTCTGTCCTGTGATGGACTGATGTCCCATCCATTGCTTGATGGGATAGCCTCTGGCTGCCCCACGACTCTGAATTGGAAAAGCAGTTAGAAAATGGATGGATTAAATTTCTGTAAAAAAATTCCATAGTCCATCATAGGGCACATGTCATATTTACCTCTGAGGAAGACAAAAGAGATGCATTTCGCTTCACATCTCCTATCAGTGAAGTGTGGGAGTTTCTGAGAGGAGAACACCACCATATACCTCCCAGATCCTTCCATTTTCTAACTGCTTTACACAGTTCAGGGTCACGGGGGAGCTGGAGCCCATACCAGCAAGTAATGGGTGCAAGAAAGGATACATCCTGGACAGGACACTAGTCCATCACAGGGCACACCAGGACCAACCTTCCCAGAAGCCAATCAGACTGTGGGAGGAAACTGGAGCACCTGGAGGAAGCCCACACAAACATAGGGAGAACTTACAAACTCCATGCAGAAAGCACCACAGGAACTGAACCCAGAGCCAATGTTAACCTTTGCGCCACGAGCCACCCCCTTAGTGAACAAATGCTTTGCATTGTGTGTTTGTGTCTGGAGAGTGCAGATTGCAGAGTTTTTATCTCCTTAATCGCAGCATACTCATGGCCGTTGCCCCCAAAACATATGGATGATTATCTTACACTGTGTGGGAAAATCACTAACTGAGCAGAGAAGCATGTAAACAAGGACGAGATAAAGCAAACACAGCAGCCAGTTTAGATGTAGTCAAAGAGTGCGTTAATTACAAAGGCCTCCCATTGGCTATATGAACCCAGGACCTGGATCATCCTCTCCTGCAGAGGTTATTTAAGGAGAGACACAGTGTACAACATTTGAAACAGCTTGTCAGTTCCTCTGAGGTCAAGACATCCTTGGACACACAAGCCACTATGGCCAAGCTGGTGTGTCTGATGTTGGCCATTCTTATTCTAGTAGCAATCTGCAGTGAGCACACAGGTAAGGCAAGACTTTGACTTCTACAACACTGGGAGCATTGTGGGTGATTTCAGATGCATAAAGACGTAAAGAATAGTCTGAGAGATATTCAGTACAGTTCAAATCCAAATACCTTTTATTCATTTCCAAAGGGGTCAGTTTAGCAGGAAGCAGCATGGCACACAACTTTTATTAAAAAAAACAAACAAACAGCATGCAGATAATAAATTTATTATGAAAGTAACAGTGTGCATTCTAAGGACTCTGTCCTATACTACTACTTAAATAATAATTGGATTATTAGATATTTAAGAAAGCAGTAAAGTACATTTGAAGAGGGGGCTCTATCCAATAGAGATAGTGATACTGATAAAACTTTTTTTACATTCATTTGTTGCAAGTCTAATGGCTTCTGGAACAAAACTAGAGTTTCTTCTATTTGTCTTGCACTGTGGACAGCGAAAGCAGGTTCCTGAAAGCACAAATTCAAAAGAACAATGAAGGATAAGGTGATGGGTCACAAAAGATGCCACAAGCCTTTCCTCAGGATGTGCTGGACATAAATCTGGGCTCACCAGTGATTTTAGAGCTCACAACTGTTTTAAGGTGGTTTTTGTCTTTTTGACTGAGTGACATAGCACATCTGGGCTCACTGCAGGGGGGAATTCAGGCTTCTTCCCTTTCTAGGGACTAAAAAAAAAAAACACTGACGTTTACTTGTATATCACCTAGCTGCACTTTGCCCCATATTGCATAGTGCTGTGCATTTTCGGGAGGGTTCCGATTTAGAGGCATTCAGTCGTAACACCAAAAATGGCTGCTTCAGCAACTCAGCCAAGCACAGACACCAGATATTTGAACATGCAGCTCCTCTCCTACTGAGCATCATCAGTAGGGCCGGACTAAACTGGCTGATGATGGTCTAAGCTCTGCTCATGCCCCCTATCAGTGGGTGAGTTTGACTTTATGGAGCACAATGCTTTGAACAAGGCATCACATCATTGTTAGTTACTGTAGTTTTACAGGGGAAAACAATTCGAGATTCCAAATCTCACAAAATTTCTGTCTTACTCAACCATTTACACTCTCTGTGTTCTTCTATAAAAGCTGTGAGGGTTTTTACATGGAGAACTGAGTCATTTCTTACATTTTCCCTTTTCCTAGTCTATTCTAAAGGAAGGCATCTCAAGAACAAGTGTGGCTGCTTTGGTGAGTGTCCACCCCATTCACTCAAGAGGAGGAGCTTCTTTACACAAAAGGTGGTGAGAGTGTGGAGCAAGCTGTCCAGCCATGTTATGAAGCCAAAACTCTGGTACCTTTCAAAAAGAAGCTGGATGAGATTATTGGCTGAAATAGCTACTAACTACCAAATAGTGTAGATTGGCAGAATGGCCGCCTGTCCCTTTTAACCCTTCATATGGTTTTATAAGAGATTCAAGATCTGAACTCTTTTCTCATGCCTTGTTCCCAGGTATGCACTTTTAAAAAATGTGCCTTTTGTGTTCTTTTCTGACAGTTACAGCAGTTAACAGTGTGGTCTGCCCGAGCAGATTCCTTCCACAGACCGAACAAGAGCTGCGACAGGTTTTACGCTGCCTTTGCTCAAAACATAAGCATGGTACGTGATAGCGTCACCTTCTGTCACCCAAGCCAACAGTCAAAGGAAATGCCTGCCAAAAGTATGGCTGTTTAAACATCAGACATTATCAGAAAAAAATGTCACATGAAACACAGCCTTGTGGGGAGTGAAAATAAATCATTATTGCCTATTTGATAGCCTGCAACAAATTTTGCAGATGCTTATTGCATTTGCTTTAGCATCTGGAAAATATGGCCTTTTAACATTTTTTTTATTTAGTTCAGGCGGGTAGCTGCGTCAGCATGCGTAGGCTGTAAAGGAACAAGTAATAAGTTTATCCCATGCTGAAAAGAGAAGAGAGAAAACCCAACGTTTCAGCCATGGAGCCTTCTCTATTCAGCATGGAATAAACCTATTACTTATTTTTTTATTTATACTTACTTAATCTGCATGTACATTTTCAGTTTTTTACACACTAACAGACTTGCAAAGGAAGGTTAAGACATAACTCCTGACCCACAAAGAGTCACATCAATAAAGCTTCATTGTGTTCCTTCCTGTGACATGTGAATGATCTATTTGAACAGCGACGTCAACTCTGATTTCTAATTGTCTTCTGCACAGTCTTATTATTAATTTAGTCTGAATATTGTACACGAATGTGCATCCACAAAAGGCAGCACTGTAGGTGTTGGTGCTAAATTAAATACAGGGACCTGTCAATCTTCACAGTGCTTACTCCTTGTCCCGAACAGGTGTAATTTGTCCCAGAGTAAATTCTCCTCTTTTGTCCTCTGTTCAAACACAGATCGCAAGGTGTTGCAGAATGAAGTACTGCAGAAGACATGCAAGAGAAAACCCATACCCCTATCTATTCCCTTGACCTGAGAAGAAGCAAGGAGTTCATCCCAGACAGTGTTTTGAAAGCCCAGAAGAACCTATGATAGATGCTTGTGCTTCAAATTTAAAAGGGATATACCTAGTGACGTTTTCCACTTTCAGCACTGTCATGCGAAACATTTGTACATAACATTAAACTTCTCATAGTACAGGCAAAGCAAAGCAGCATAAGTGCAATAACATTTAATCTTTCAAACCAAAGGCTTCAGTTAGGACAGTTTTTCAGTCTTAGTATTTAAGATTAAGATTGATGTGTTGAGTTCTTAATATTCTTAATATTTATTTATTAAGAACCCAACACTTCTGATTTCCCTCTGCCTTGCTTTACAACAGAGGTCTCCAACCCAATACTGAATCACCAATTTTGAAAGACTCGAACAATTTAATTGTACCTAAAGAAGCTGTTGAGTTTCTAAACTGCTTAATATAGTAATCTCTACTTTAATTTAGAGATCAGACTGAAAGATGACATTGTCACAGCTCTATAGATCTTATATGCTTCAAGCCCAATGCTATGCCAGCTAAGATTCCTTGAGTTTAAAAAGCCTAAACAGATTTTTGCTCTTGGCTTTCCTTTAATTGTACTGTATTTTTTAACTGCTCAATAACCTGCAAATGGTGACTCGAATGGCCACAGGATTAGCACAGTCTTTAGATAACGAGTTATACGCCTATGCCTAGATATGTTATATTTGAAGTTATAGGCAAGTGTAGAACGTATCAAGAGGAACACAACAATTATTTTTAATTTTAAAGATCTTTCATGTTTTCTGAGATGTTATCATTTAATCATATATTGTTTTACTTGTGCTATAGGTACATGTTAAAATAAAGCTCTTTACTCTGAGTAGCTGCTTGAATTTCTGCAGCATTTCCTATTTCCTCGTTACAGAGCCAAACTTGAGCGAAGGAACCCTGGCTTTTTGGCTTTAAACATATTCGCCTACCTTAGGTGTGTTGTGCACACTGCTTTTTATCATGAGCAGGCGTCTCCAGTGGCTATGCAGAAGTTATATCTCAAATGGTGAATGGTGCCCTGTGTGTAGCCCCTGTGGACTCAAAATCCTAATGTAATCCTGGAATAACTTGTGTGACAACTCCATCTCACAAAGGTGAGGTTTTTTTGTATGGCTTTTTGCAAACAGCTTATCGTAACAAAGAATGAAACTTGATTTCTGTGCAATGTCTATTAGGATGTAAATAAAATTGCTGGTCCCAGGAATCTGTTGTGCTTACCAGTATTATTTTCATCACAATCCTGAGATACAAAATAAATAATGTTCTTCATCTGTTTAATGAGATGTTACTGTAAAATAAGCCTTCTTACTAGTTTTTTTCCATACCGCAGGCAAGCACATAATAGTTCTTGAAAAACACATGTATATTCTGTACAAGTACCCTGCTGATATCAACAATGGCAAATGTTCTGTTGTTCCATTTAAATATGAGCAAGATCACATGAATACACAAAGCGAGACAGTCTGAAACTGCTAATTCTGTTTGAAATCGACAGTGAGGGGTTGTTTCAGCTTAGACCTGATTAAGGGATAGGATTAGGAGGCGAGATGGAGTTGTGTGAGCAGACATGTGGATGCATCAGATCACAGGAATCTACAACAGTCTTAAAACAAATGAAACAATAAGGCCTGTCCCTCAGTGGAACAGCATCCAGTTTGATAGCTTCTGATAAAAACATTTTGGAATGAATCAATTTTAACATAAAATCAACAATAATAATCTTCTCTGCCCTATGCATAGACACCTGTGTGACAACCCCCTAAAGTTCAGTTTTGTCATTGTTAGACAATGTATTTCATGTGCAAGGACTCTCCAGTATCCTCTGGATAAATGTCTTTTCACAGCAGTGAAACCAGTATTTAAAAAAGAAACACATAAATGAGACAGCACTGACCACAAGAATGTGAAAATATACAACACTACCCGTTGTTTTCATCAAGTTTTAGCAACAAAATCAAAATGCAGCACAAAAACTATACCTCGTAAGAAATAAGACCACCTCTACTTCAAGACGGTGTAATAATAATAATTAAACAGAAATTTACCAGCAAGGTAAATATTATCGATATTATTATATATAGTCGATATTATCTAGAATATACCCTGAAGAAAGTCAATATCCCACACTCCCAACTCTGTCAGGCTGGATTTCATCATTATAATAATCTAAATAATAAGACCAAAACAGGTCTTAAATAACTTTCTTTTCCCTTTAAGAAATGATCCTATGATGTGAAATAAAAGTTCGATCAAACATTGATCAAGTCCTGGGTAACGTATACATGAACCAGCATCCTACTTAAACTCTTATCTGAAAATCACAGAATCACAGCGGAATGCAAACATGAAACCAGCAAGGCATAAAGAAGAAATGTAATAACTTGTTTCGACTTGGCCAACAGGCTTTCCTAATCCTATATAAATCCTGCTTACCAGCAAAATTTCAGAACCTCCAGTTTCTTCACCAGAAGAGGTTATGTAATTGAGACTTTGAGTTTAGTGTCAAAGAGATTATTACTACATTTGAATTCAAGACAGAGCACAAAAACCATTATGGCCAAGCTGGTGTGTCTGATGCTGGTGATTCTTGTTTTGGCAGCAATCTGCAGCAACTATATGGGTAAGACAACTACAAAACTTGTTAACTTGCAACAGGTAATGTCAAGAGACCTAAATTTCCTTTGTTGCTTTAAAGGCTTATTTTACTTAAATTAAAACAGACCTCTTTTTTTCTGCATGTGCTCATTTGCTGCTCCATGCTGTGTTAAAATCCTTAACTGATAGAAAAGGAAAAATGACTAATTGATGACAACTAAGATCAACAAGAGTAGCAGCAGTTCTTTCAACCTTATTCTGAAATCCACAGGGATTGCGTGCCAGTAAGCTATGATAAGTGATATAGTACAGTATATGCTCTTGCATTTTAGTTTTGTTTAAAATCTGAGTACCAGAGCTTTTAACCTGCTGCAACTAGTGAAGAACACGTTTGGATGAACCAGCCAGCACTGTGTAACAGGAATGAGCTCGGAATAAACAAAACCGAGGCTTTAACACATTTAGGGAGTTTAATCAATTAACGTAATTCTGGTCTGGTCAGATTTCAGATGTAAAAGGTTTTGTTGCCTCATTTCTGTAACATCTAAGAGTGAAGAGTCAGACAATGTTTGATTAATGGCATGTTTCATGCTTTAAGTATATCTGTAAAATCTTTATAAATATCTCTATATAACCAGCCAAATTATTCAAAATTGTTGTTCATATGAATTCTGTACTTTACAATAACATTTTGTTAAGGCTTTATTGTGTTTCACCTAAATGCAATTTTGTGGTTGACAATATGTATGCATGTTCTGCAGAATAATGATTAAAACTGTATCATCCTAGAATTAAGGAAATTCTAGATACAAGGTAGTTTGTGGAAACAGTTAAGTGCTGGTGCGTTGGAACTACTATAGTTTACTGGTTTATCATAATAGAAGATACTAAATCACTCAATATATTTTGTCAAGTGAAACCACAGTATATGCCACATGTTAAAACATAATCCTTCCCCCCCAAGAACTGCATTTTGAGAATCACTACTTAGTTATTGTGAGCCAGTTTATATTTTGCAAAAACAACCAAGCGCACAGCAGCACTTTTATTGCTACCCAGTGTCTTTCATAACCAAATATTTCAAGGCACTAAACCAAAAAGAAAAAGAAATGACATGGACAATCCCTCTTTGATAATTAATCATTTACAAATGACTAATAAAGTAATGTAATGGTTACATTATGTTTTCAAACTGCAGACTCTGGATTGTGAGAAGTTCAGTACCCAGTTCTGTTTCCCTGTACAGAGCTATATTCCCTTGTTATTGGTTTCAAAATGGCTTCAGGGCCAGTGATGAGCCTAAATCTCAAACAGACCGGAATTAGTCAAATCCATTCCGACTCCAAAGTTAATTTATTTGTAGTCATCTATGGAGCAGCACAAGGTCAATTGGATAAATAGAAACATTCCTCCTCTTGCACTCTGGCAGTGTACAATAGACTCGAGCAATGATTTCCATTTATGAAAGACAGTAAGGAGATACAGAACTGGTTACTTACTAACACAGGTAATGATAACAAACCCAGTAAATTTAGTAATACTTGGGACAATTAATTGCTGAAATAAAATATCTTTTGTTGATGTAATGCATGTCATGGCATGTACTGTATATGTATTCGTTATGTTTATATATTCTGGAGTAATTACATGACTAGAGTATGTAATCATGCCATAGGTTTTGTTGACCTGTTTTTGTCATTGACCAAAAATGAACTCTGGGAAAGGTCAGATTTACTCAGCTGACCTTTCACAGACTCTTCCCATTGGTTTCCTGGAAGAGTTCTGAAGGATTTGGTGTAGAATTAAAATACCAATTTATGTCTTTCTTTTCTCCATGTCAGTTGACTCTCAGAGACGACCATATCTGTTAAAAAATGACTGCGGTTGCAAAGGTGAGTCTTTATTTTACCTAAATGGAATTTAGAATCAATAGTTCAAGAACAAAGGATATTTACTCTTAAAATATACCTTCCTGCTTAGGTCTAAACATTTTATTTACTATTTTCAGTTTTCCTTAAAGTTATGTACATCTTTATATACACTTTGTTCTGATACACCTTGGTTGGTCTTTTCCCATAGTGATGAAGAATAAGAAGGTGAGCTGTCAAAGAATTCCAAAATCAAACGAGGAGAAGCTTCAAATGATCAAGTGCCTCTGCAAAAAGCATCATCCAGGTGAGTGCAAAAGACAGCAGTAGGACAGGAGTTGGTACTGCACTGATGTAAAACAGTGAGAGGGCTGCCACAAAATTACTTTAAGTTCAGTGTGAGAGGTAACAGAATGCATGGTTTAAGAAAAAACTACATTGTCTGGATTTTGAAAATGTTCCATTCTTTGCATTTAATATCTTAGAATATGATTATAAAGCCCTGGAGAATGCTCTTACTCTACCACTAAAAAATGATAACCCTTGTTAATATCCATGCATTCATTTTTTAACTGCTTATTCTAATTCAGGATCCCGATGGGTGCTGGAGCCCATCCCAGCAAGCAATGGGCACAAGGTAGGATAGACCCTAAATGGGACACCAGTCCATTGGGGGGCACACACAGAGACGCTCACACACTCATAACAGAGCCTATTTTCCCCAAAACAAATTAACCTTCAGTACAAGCATGTTGGACCGTGGGATGAAGCCCACGCCAATATGAAGGAGAACATTCTAGTAGGTTAATTGGCCCTGCTGTGAGTGTGTGTCTGTGTGTCTGCCCTGCAATGGACTGGTGTCCTGTCCACGATGTATCCTGCCCTGCGCCTGTTGCTTGCTGGGATAGGTCTGGCTCCCCCGTGACTCCGAACTGGATAAAGAGGTTAGAAAACGAATGGATGGATGATGTGATATGTGGACTGAACAGGTTATGTTTTGTCCTGAATATGTGAGATTGGCCTTTACAGAATGAAATCTCATGTTTTGTCCTCTGACTCTCTCGTTGCACAGTCCTCAACAAGAAGCTGAGCACTGACTTTCAAAATGCATGCAAGAAACTGCAAGATCATTTCTTCAACTCACTTCTCCCCCTACCCCTGTCCTGAGAAGATTCCCCCCTGGACGGCATTTACAGTAGAAATACAACACCAGCTAATGCACTATAAAGGGCTGCTCCTCGAGATTATTACACTTTGGGCACTGCGATGGGAAACAGCTTCACATACAATCTGCAGTCCATTAGAGTTGAAAAATGACATTTTTGTACTAGTGCAACATTTAATCTTGTGCATAATTCAAACCAAATGCTGTAGTTGAGGATAGTTTACATTGAGATTATTATTCAAGAGCACAAAACATAAATTTTTCCTCTGCTTTGCTTTACAATTTGTTTGTAATTGCTAAATGACTTTGGTGTTGACTGGGCCTCCTGTAATTACCAGTGGAAAAGCAATATATCTTTTATAATGAATAACTCGTTAAACCATGCAACTACATACTGTAGAGTTAATACAAAGGGAAGAAACTACGTATTCAAACATTGATCACTATTAGGTTCTTGAGGGAGCACAAACAGTTGTATATTAGTAAATAAATCCAATGTTGAGTTAGACACATTATTGGTCTTTATGTTACATTTCATTTCTTTTTTATGTGGTTTCTGGTTTTAATGTGAAAATC